TCGGTCATGTTAGGTATATATCTATCTTTCTGGAACGTACTTGAAAAAAAGTATATCACATAAAATAAGACGGAAGACATATTAGGTTAGTAAAATATTGAGAAATTTATTTGAATAGTTCGCAAAAATTCAACTTTTTTTCAAGTAAAATTCATACTCAAACACAATTTCAATCTCAAAATACTTTTTTCGGTTTCAGTTTCAAATATTCTTTATCCAATTCAACCAATTATATTGTCAAGCTATATTGCACGAATTCTTTAAAATATTGTTGTGCGCATGTCGAATCGTTAAAAAATGCACCACTTTTGGAAGATTCGACACACACCTGACGATATTTTTGAAAAGTCCGAGCATCATAGGCGTCCTGACGCCTACATATCTTCTTCAGGAATTGATTTAATTTCATATTTATATTGCAGGGCAATCAAGAATACAGTAGCAGGATTTCCAAGGCCACTGCTAAATCTAAGCAGAGAAGCATTTGCAACAGTTATGAACGATGCATTTGGACATCCACTAGAATTACCTTTCAATCCTTGCGCTAATGACATTAATTATCTTCTTGCTTCGTATGTTATTCCTTATATTGGACTCACTGGATATGTTGGAGCCAATCCTAAACTCCACAGCCCTACAGCCAAAAGGGTAATCAATTTAAATTACTCTCTAAACTACATCTTTCAAGATCATAATACTGCTATCTTTCTTCCAATTTACATGGCATGCATTATTTCAATTTTTGAAAGTTGCAAAACATTTAACCATCATTTTAAATCTATACAAGTTTCAAGAATTTAAATTTAAGCTACTTGCAATGTCCTTGTCTTTTTAAAACCTAATTATTCAATCATTAGTTTAATAACTTAACTTATATACGCGGGCAATGTCATGTAAAGAATGTTTATACTATCAATTAGTTATAATTATTGTAATAGGTAATCTACCTTATTTTCTTGGTTACTGATCTGGTTTTTTTATGGACAATTGTTGTAATTATCATTTAGACGACTCAGTTTTAAATATTAAAATTCTTTACATCGTCATGGATAGAAGTTAAACTCTTATTATAATAGTCGTCTCATTATCATAAATATATTCACTATTTAATTTCATATCTTAAACTTTCCATCTTCATAAGTTTTGTAGACAAAATCATTCGGTACCTATGCTGGTGAAAAACAACAAGTATATGATAGAATAATCGAAATGCACCAAATTAACATGAACAATATCGTTGTAATAGAAACTATCTTAAACTTCATGTCCAATCAAATTTCATCTTATAAAACAAAATGGATGGAGTATTTTCATTACATTCAAATTGATGAACTGTAATACTTCTAATACAAAACCAAAATTTGCAGCTACTAGCAGGGCTACTGGGAGTAGAATCAGGTCAAGACGTAGTTCTGAGAACATTGCTTTACGAGCGAGGAAGAGAGAACGTGGAACCCTACGGGATAGCAGTAGCAGAGTTCACAAACCGGATATCAGAGCTGAGAAACAAATTGGGACGCCGTGGATTGAAAGATGAAGGACTCAAAGTGAATCCAGCAGTAGGTGCTGAAGGGAAAATACGAGGAAATATATTAGCAGGAAATATATTAGCAGGAAATAAATACTCGCTTTTCTATGGCAGAATACCAGAGGAAATACTGCGAATAGTGTACGGAAGTGGAAATGAGAATAAACCAGGTGGATTTTACCCAAAAGGAGCAGATGGCCGAATAGCAAAATCCTATCTTGGACTTGGAGGGAATTAAACTTTAGGAAATTAAAGAAATTTTTGATTCCTACATGCATAATAAAAGTGAGCGAAAGCTTCGCACTAAAAGAGAAATTATACATGAATAAAAATGTATTTTTTTTGGAAAGATGAGCTTATTGGACATTTGTGCTTATTATTTTCTGAATTTTACGAGGAATCATGTGTATGTTCACGTTGCTTCATTAGATTTCATCTTATGTCAGATGATATTAACGATAAGTTTTCAAATTTGAAATGGGAAGATGTCATCGACAACAAAAATAATTAACAACATATCTGGTATATTTTCACATGTAGGGTCTATGAATAGTAATATATACGCAAACCTTACCCCTGCCTTATGGAGGTAGAGAGGTTATTTCTGATAGACCCTAAACTCAAGAAAAACAATTTTCAGCAGGTTTGAAAAAGAAAGTCAGTAGTGATCAAGAAGCTATGTTGAAAATAACAAAGATAAAAACAGTAACAATAACAAAATAACAAAACGCAATAAGAAAATCGACACAAGGAAAACAACAGACAGTAATAAAAATCGAAAGCTATCTAAATACGAGAATGATAATAATATAAATAATACTACTAATATGGAAAATGGCAAGATGTCATGTTAGAAGAAAATGAGTATAGCGTTTTTTT